AAATTGTTTCACTCTTCGGTTTTGCCGCGAAAACCAGAGCGGGCAGTTGCATTTCACAGCGGGCAGTTGCGTTTCAGAGCGGGCCGGATGCAAAAAAACGGCCCGCTCTGAAAGGCTCCTCAGCCAATCAAATTGCTTCATTTTCACTGATAAAAAATAATGGTATGTTATTATACCTAAAGCTTTAATTTAAGTTAAAATTCAACAACAAACGCTTCGCAAAAAGTTTTAAAGATTAAAGTTATTTGCAAAAATAAACTGCTTTTATCAATAAACTTTCAGTTCGAAATAAAATTATTTCAAATTTCTTTATTTCAACATTTTAATATAATAAAAAAGGGTCATCATTAATGAATAAAGATACACTTAAATTATATCTTGTCTTTTCTATTTAAAATTTACGCAACTATTAGATGTCAGATAATACATTAATATACACAACCTTTTCAATGATGTTATATTTTCCCGAAACGGTAACATGTAGTGGCGAAGCAAACATTTAGTTCTTCACTGCGTGAGTGAATGCAGTGCATAATAATACCTCAAATTTGCGTAACAGTATATAGATCGAGAATAATATCAGTTACAGTTGGATGCAGGTATGCTGGCGCTGCAGACGTATTTGTAATAATAGATTGCATTCTCTTGTACTCTTGTTCGAATAAGCTAGTTAATTGTACGTACACGTGCACATTCATGGTTTTCAAAGTTAGCCAAATGATTCTTGCAATTGATGGCTTGCGTCGTTTCTCTTAAACCAGCACCGACATGAGAATAGTTTTGTGCGAAAACCTCCGCGTGATCATATATCCTTACCAGGGGCGTAGGAACCGGGCGGAGGGGGCAGGGGAACGTCCCCCCCCCAATTTTTTCCAACGACGAAAAGTGTCTTTCAGTGTGATGAAAAGTGCCCTTTTTGTACAAGATAATTAATGTTGCTGTAAATACTAAGTTAATATCAAAAGTGTCTTTTTGTTTGGAAATTTCGATGTCTTTAAAAACAATTTGATGAAAAACGTGCAATTTCTGTATGGTATGTCTATGGTATGACGGGAAAAGTTTTCTCCCCCCCCCCCTCCGCCCGTCGCCAACGTTTCTGGGAAAATTTTTTTTGGTGCCCTTTTCAATGTCCAAAAGTGCCCCTGGAAGCCGGTGCACCCTCGATGTCTTGATGCTTCCTGCGCCCCTGATCCTCACACTTAAAGAAGCAGTGTTACCGCGTGCGCATCCAGTTCTGCGCATATGCAGAGAAGTTTGGAAATTTTCGGAAATAACTCGATATTTCCTAATACTCGAATGATATTTAGTCATTAGAAGAGCGACGCGACCGGAGCAATCTGTCAACATGGTGAGTAAAAATATGCATATTATTCTGTTTAAATTTGCAATAATATTGAATAATATTGTTGAATGGACTATGACGTACTATTGACTTCATTTTATAGTCAAGCCGTTGTGAGTGCAAGAGTTCTTGCAGTGTCAAAAGAAAAGAAAAGAAAAGGAAAGAAAAGAAAAGAAAAATGAAAAGAAAAGAAAAGGGTACACGAGGCTGTCCTTTCAAGGGAGGTAATGTGGTACAGCCGAATACAAGTGCGGTACTGGTAAAAACCTTGCACGAATGGGGTAAGTTTGTCAAGAGAAAAATCTATTTTGTTGTATTGAAATGATAAAACGAAAGCCTTCAAAATTTTGAGGATTTCGTCTGCCTTTTTTTTCAGGCAACAGACGACAACTCAAGGCAAGCAGAAAGCGACACGTGCATGCGAATCAGGGTAAAACTAAGGACTTTCGTCTAAGCCACAAACCTATGAAGTTTGAGGAAACGCAGAGAGAAAAAGAGCACCAAGATATAAAGGTAGGTTTGGTTGACTTAAAAAATATTGTAATTTTGAGTTAAAAATTCTCCATTTTGCTTGATAGCTTGCAATACTGATAGTGGACGACTTGCGCTTTAGACTAAGTTTTAATCTAAGTAAGAACAACGAAATCTATCACCTCAGCTGCAAAGAGCGCCTTGGAATTAGTAATATTACAAAGTTTGATTGCGAAATGTTGTAAAATACGGAAAATATAGCCCTTCAAATTTGTATACTTTTGTATTACGTGCGTCAATTGGTAAGGGGCCATTCACAAAGGATGTCCGGCCAAATGATGGATTTTCAGAACCCCCCTCCCCCCCTTGTCCGGCATTATCCGAATTAGTGACCTCATCCCCCTGGACATCCACCATGCCTCGCAAAAACTCACACAACCTTTTATATATCAAGAGTAAAAAACTTTTTTTTACTTTTAGAACGTTTTTATAACTATAAATGTGAACACAAAAACATATAAATTACTGATTAAAACAAAATCTAGTGTTAACCGCATAGTCAAAATGCCAATTTCACAATGGGAAGGACTGCTCAAAATAGAGGGAAAAAGAAATTTGTTTTTGAATATTTTAAAATTTCGGACATCCGGGTTGCTAAAAACCCCCCTTTCCCTATGTCCGAGTTTGTCCTGATTGTCCAAACCCCCTCGGCTCGGACATCCTTTGTGAATGGCCCCTAACTAAATTAGTTACCAATTTCCGCACGCAATAGAAATGCATACAAATTTGCCAACTTCGCAGGGCTATATTTTCCGTATTTTACAACATTTCGCAACCAAACTTTGCAGTTTTTCTAATTTTGATAACTTCTTTCAGAAAATATCCTTTGTTATTCCCAGATTAAAAATTTTCCTAAAGCGTAAGTCGTCCGTTGATACATTGTATTTCGTGTAATCGATTTTCAAAGCTTTTGGACAATTTGAAATTGTCCATAAAATTAATGCTGTAACAGTGCAAGTCACTAAGCCTCCAACTACACATAGAGATGCTAATGCTTGTAGCTACATAATGTTCTCAAATATTTGATGATGTTTTGCGTCAGTAATAGTAAATATATAACAGTAATATTTCCTTGTAAAAGTGATAAAACAATCATAAAAGTTGCATAATTTTTGTAAAAGCATATGGGCTTTATATATACATGATATCATATGTATACATGGTGTAGAGCCAAGATATATATAGAATGAATGAAAAAACCCGACAGATATGTGTAATTTTTGTATAACGAATGTCAATTCTTGTATATCCCATGCCAAGCGCTATATTCAATGCTATATCACGTGCATGCAGGGTGGATCCAACATGGTCTGATGGGGTTATAGTGCCAAGTGATTGTTAGTTGGGCTCTGTGCCCATGTTACATGAGAAGGAAATTAACAGCTCTTTGCACCCCCTTTCGCCAAGGCACCCCTCACCTCCCTACAGTAAATCCAAAATGATTGCATGTTTAATGACGTAATAATGACCTCATGCTTTAGAAGCATGCGCATTTGTAAATATAGAAAAAATGACATATGTTTATGCATCGCATAAAATAATAAAATATGGCAAAAGCCATTCCAGATTTCGGTCCATTTATACAGTAGTTTATGGGAACGACACGTCGAGCTCTTTCATTGCTACTCGCTGGAAAAAAGTTTGCAACGTTTTAACAATCTTATGGTCGCTATGGATATATCGGCAAAGAAACGAAAACGTGCTTTACTTATATACTTGGCTGGATCGCAAGTTTACGATATCTTTGACACATGCATTTACCGCCGAATAGAAAGGTTCTGAGGATGATTTTGACACAGCTGTGAAATCATTTACAACTTATTTTGAGCCTAAAAAGGATATGGGGTATGAAATCTGCAAATTTCGGCAAGCTAGCCAACGCCATAGCGAAAAGATCGATTCCAGTTACCACTTGGAAAATAACAACACAGAATCAGTCAACCAGATGAAATCTGCCGCGATACGAAATTACCTCGCGAAGAATCAAAGAAAAACTATGTTATTTTTGCAGCCAAACCTATCATCACGGCGTATGTCCAGCAAATTAAAAGGAAAAACATTGCGGAAAAGTTGAATCGCTTTAATTTGCTGTCGCATGTCGTTCGTCTCAGTGCCTTTTTTAAGGAATTTTCACTGGGGCAAAACAAGAAAAAAAGGCAGAACGAAAACGTACAGCTATAACCAGTGGCATAGCCAAACCTTAATTTTGCGGGGGGGGGCAAACCTCACGCTGAAGGCGTGAGAAGACCGTTTAGAAGGGTCTGGGGTCCGGAAAATTTTGAAATCTAGGGTCCCTGAACTGCGATTTCACGCATTTTGGGGGTGAAATCTACCAGAATTCCGAAGATTATAAAGTACATCGAAGACACGAATTTTTCTAGACATTTCTACTCGGAATTTAATGAATTGGAAAAGTCACCTTGAAAAATAGGAGGTGGGGTCAGTGTCACCTTATTTCCTCTCTGTGATGCTAGGGGGGGGGATCCTAATGTGATTTTGATCAGAAATGTTGCATTTAAATCATTTTAGGTTCTATGAGACACCATTTCCGCATTCTAAAAATTGCGTTGCTTTTTCATACGATACAGAATATGTAATATTTATGCTATGATGATGCACACATGTATTTAACAGTTAAAAATTTAAACTAAATCTATTCTTCTCGGAACCATATCTACAACTTTTTTAACAAGATTTCACAAATCAAGTTCCTCCAGTATATCGTCTTTTTTCTCAGTCGAGACGTACTTAATCAGTTTCAGCTTCAAACATGTAATGTGTACCCCCCCCCCCAAATTTCTCTACGGATTTAGCCTTTCTGAGAGAATGGTTTTTGTGGCGATTGAGGGGGGGGGGGCTTAATATAACTTGATATTTTTTAGAAAGAATTTTTTTGCAATAAAACCTCCCAAAACAAAACACAACGCCTCCGCAGACGAGAGTGCTAGGAAATAGTCGCAAGGCTTGGAAAGGCTAGCACTTTATCGGATTGTTTGCATGAAATCTATCGCTATTATGAAATGCTCGGTGAAGAACAAGATGAATTACACACAAGATGGCTGTGGAGGAGGCTATGGAAGGGCATAATCTCATTATCAAATAAATCAACTGCAATTCTGACAGCAATCATGAGCAATTCTGATTCGCACTTCGGGGGCAGAAATGGCTTTACTGGGAGGGCAAATTCTTTCCCTGGGGAGGGCGGGTGCAATTGCCCCCCCCCCAGATATATAGTTAAAAAAGGCACTGTTGGTTAGTTAATTATGATTATATACCCGAGTAATAAACAAGTGATTATTTATGTTATATGAAATGCGTGCTTTATAAAACTACAATGGCGACGAGTATCAAACAATAGGGACCTTATGCATGTACGATGGCAACGCAACGACGATAGCCAAAACAAACTTTTTCAAATAAATTATTGCGAAGAAGAGTTGTTGTGTATTATCCACTGCATGTATATATGAATTGAGTTCAGTTTGAAGAGATTAAAACAAAAGCTTTATGGTTGACCTTGCATGGTAATTGCGTCACCTTACTTATTATGCACAGTGGCGTAAGCAGCTCGATAAGTGGGGGGGGGGGGGTTTC